AGAGTGGGTTAATTTTGTTCTGGGCTAGACTTGACTCTGCACTAAATGTCTCAGCTACTAGATAGTGGGCCATCATAAATACTGTGGATTAACTTGCACATGAAGACCCATTGGGATACTGTTGGATTCAAGTCCCAGAAACTGGGGTCTTCCCAATATTTCTGGTGTTGAAAAAATACATCAAAAGGCAAAAGAGTCTGGCTTGAAAAAGAGAATCCTAGAGACAAGGTGAAAAAGGTAGGACAAGAGAGACTGAGAATCTTGAAAGGGAGCCGATTGAACAGCTTTCTTGACTGGGAATCTTCCTGAGAGTTGGCCTATGCATGTGTGGCCCAAGGACTCTGCCTGCTCTATTTCCATTGGCTATAATACTGTTTTGTTTAAGAATAGCATTCTGCTTTGCTGCATGTGACTTTAAACACACTCCATTCCCTTTGAGAAGAAAAGTCCTTGTCCAGAAGCTAAGTAAAAAGGTATCTCTCTGGGAGTGTTCATGGGGCCACAGGTAATAAGACAGTACCAAGACCATTGGACCTGGTTATAAGAACACATTAGAGATTTAGCATAAGTTACTCAATCCTGTATATTTCTTCCATTGTATAAAGAAATGAAGCATGAGCTGTTGTTTTAAGGGTAAGACTAAGGGCATGTGTAGATGAAACGGGGGCGCTAAATTGAAGCGGTGGGTTTTAAAAAACACCACTTCAATTTAGGGCTGATTACACCCCCCTGTCATGCACACACCCCGCTGACTTACCAGCCTCTCTGGTGGGGAGGGAAGGGTGAGCTGCTGGCAGGCGAAATGGTCCCTGGGCTGCGGGGTGTGCTTCCCTCCACAGCAGTAGTTCCCCCGCCCGCCAAAGTGGCACCTGCTTGTAGGCACCTGACTCAGGCAGTCCTGGGGGGCACCACAGCCATGGAGGGAAGCACCGGGCCCCTGGACAATTCAGGCAGGCAGGCAGGCTCCAGGGGGTGAATGGGGAGGGGAGATCAGGATCACCACGTTTCTTGGGCGGAGCCTGCTTTGCTGGGTTGCTGCCAGGCTGCTTGCAGAGCCACAGAGCTGCATGGAGCCTGGTGCTTCATTCCATGGCTGTAGGGACTGCAAAATAAACTACTTGGAGGAGTTTTAGTTTGCTGCACTCCAAGTAATTTAAGGTGCATTACGCCACCAAATTTCCTACAGTGGCTAGAATTAATGTGCAATATGCCGCCAAGGCGTGCAAACACCGACACCATTAAAGTAGTGCAACAGCATTTAGCCCACTTTGAAGTGTTGTGCACACACACCCCTCGTTTCATCAACACACAGCCACAAACACTAGAAAATCCACTTTAACTTCATCCAAAGACAGAACTGTAAGTCTATATTCTATTTTGCTGACCAAAACAGGAACTACATGCTCAACAAAACCAAAGTGACTGTAGTGTTGGAGTGATGTTGTAGCTGCGATGCTTCAGGAAATATGGGAGGGGCAAATAATTTTGTGGGTGATATCTTTTATTGGACCAAACGCATGGGATAGATTTAGACAATCTTTCACATGCAGAATAACTGATCAAAATAATTGATGTCATTCACCATAGGAACCAATAGTCATTAACCTCCATTGTTCACCCATTGTCGAAGATCAAAACCTGTATGATAAAGTCTTCTAACAGTCTATAGAGATAAGCTGTGTTAAACAATGGATGTTTAACAAGACTCGATGAAATTATCACACATAATAGGATGAAAATTCTTCCCATAAGCTCTTCAGATGTGTGCGTTAATGATCAACTGCTTATGTTAACATATACCCAATCAAAATGTAGATTGATGTATGTAATAAGGGAATGCATAACTGTGATTGTGAACCTAGGGAGGATGAGGAATCCAGTGGCCAGCCAGATCTCAGAGAGTCCACAACTTCTCTGGGTAAATGGTTCCAGTGTTTTCCTACACTCCTAGTGAGAAAATTTTGTTTTTTTTTTTCTCATAATATCAAACGTAAACTTCCCTTGCTGCAATTTGAGACCATTGCTCCTTGTTCTGTCATCTGTTACAAATGAGAACAGTCTGGTTCCATCATCTTGGAACTACACTTCAGGTAGTTGAAGGCTGCTGTTAAATCCTATCTTAATCTTCTCTACTCCAGACTAAATAAAACCAGTTTCCTCAGTGTCTTTTCAGAAGTCTTGTGCCCAGCCCCCTAACCATTTTTGTTGTCCTCCGCTGGACTGTCTCCAAGTTATACATTCCTTATGTAGTGGGGAGCCCAAAAGTGGACACAGTACTCCAGATGTGGTTTCCCCAGTGCTGAATATAGGGGAATAATCATGTCTCTTTATCTGCTGGCAATGATCCTACTAATACAACCCAATATGCTCTTAGCCTTCTTAGCAACAAGGGCACACTGTTGGTTCCTGTTCAACTTATTGTCCATGGTAACCACCAGGTCTTTTTTATGCAGAGCTCCTGCTTAGCCTTTCTTATCTCCAATGTGATAAGATAACACATAGAAAAATCTATGTTCTTCCTGGGAATGTCCAGACGAGCATGCAATCCCTTTGAGATGGCGCAAGAGACACATGCAGGAATGAAAAAAATGTGACCCATGCTGCAAACTTCAAGTGTGGGAAGAAAATTAGACACCTGGATATCCAAACACCTGCGGCAACCAGAGGCTGGGTCCTCCACGGAGATGCTGTAGGTGGCAGAACATCTCTGTGGTTGGCCCCTCACCCTGGTGCTGAAATGTGCAGCCGGCCAGACTGAGTGTTCACTACCAGGACTCCAGTGGGGTCAGCAAGGGGTCGGGAAGGGGCTGGAGGAGGGGAGAGGGGACCATGGGGAGGGACTCCTGCCTGCCAGTCCAACCCACTCCCCCAGACCCCACAAACTCTGCCCTGTCCAGCCCCAACCCCTGCCTGCCTCCCTGAGGCCCTGATCACTTTCCTTCCCTGCTCCTCCTCCCACCAACCTCCCCTCCCCTGCCATCACTTCCAGCAAGGGGTCGGGAAGGGGCTGGAGGAGGGGAGAGGGGACCATGGGGAGGGACTCCTGCCTGCCAGTCCAACCCACTCCCCCAGACCCCACAAACTCTGCCCTGTCCAGCCCCAACCCCTGCCTGCCTCCCTGAGGCCCTGATCACTTTCCTTCCCTGCTCCTCCTCCCACCAACCTCCCCTCCCCTGCCATCACTTCCCTGCATGGCCCCACCCCCATCAGCCCCTCCAACCCC